GAGATAACGAGCAACCAGGACGAAAGTAGCTTTACACGGTTCGGAAACCGCGCACAGCACACGGTGGAACACGTGTAGATCGAGCGGATAGTTGGACAATTAATTCGCAAATTAACCGGTCGATTGGAAAATAATCGGGCCTGGCTAACGACCGTGACGGATTTCCTGGAACGCGCCGCGACGACCACCGGTCGTGTCGGTGAATACAATCAAGATACCGGCTTCGTTCGAGCGTAATTTCCCTTGTAATTTGTAATTTGCGAATAAAAATACCGCCGCTTTTATCGATGACGAGTTTCGCTGCGCCTATCTATTCTACGTCTGTGTGTTATAGTTTAGCGTTCGCGCGCTTCCGAGTTGTTCCGTTGGCAATTTATTAAAGATCTGGCCTTTTTATCGTTCACAGTTTGATCGGAGATTCCAGCTTTATAATATTTTACGAGTACGCCAGTCTCTGCGTATTTATCGCCTGTACAGTCACAGCCAGTATAATATATCAATATATATAGTAAGCAAAAGGTAAAGATCGTAGGAAATTCGATAAATTTCTATAGTTTTTCAGAGTATTTGCACGATTTAATCGTTCAAGTATGGTCATTGATATCTGCGAGAGATAAAACAAAGTTAATAAAGTAAATAAAAGCAGAAACATCTAATTACGTTATCTCTCTTAACTGTCTGTTTCTTAACGTTCTTGTTACAAGTTCTCCTAATTCTACCGATATCGCTTTTTTAACTCAAATTGTCGATTCTCCCAATTTTTCATATAAAATTGAAGTATCGAGACAACGCATCTGTAAATCGTGTCTTATCGCGATCCAAAATACAAATACAAAAATCCTTACGCGGTTAAGTTTCATTTACGTTTCGCTGAAAGCTTAAGGCGAGTCACGTCCGACGTATCGTCGACTCGAACTCCTTTCGCCGCGTGAGATTTAATCTATCGGGCTGATTCTCTTCGAGACACGACGCGTTTGAAAGACGATGACCTGCCGTTTCATCGATGGTCGACACTTACTTTCCGTTACTTGGCAAAAATTTTCCGCCGAGTTGTAACGGACGTTCGCCGAAAGCAACGTTAAAAGCGCGGCTTTCGGAAGAAGGCAATCGGATTAAAGCTACCGTGTAATTAAGAGTCCTTTGGCTCGAATTCGTTACACACGATTACCGGTATTTCGTCCTTCTTCGACTCGCAAGGAGAAACATCGGGTTAATCGAGAGCTAAAACGCACGATGTGTATACTTATCAAGATGTACCGAACATCTCCAAATATCCCTAATAACGGTTAAATAATGCTGCAACGACGGTTCGGAGGTTTTAATCGCCGCATTCGACGCCTCGTTTCTGCGGAATTTAATTACAAGCGATAAGGAATACGCAAACGAGACAGTCTCGCCTCGAACAAACGTAGATAATACGGTTGATCTTAAAAACATAAAACCCGGGAAAAAAGAAGAAGTCGATAGGAAAATATATATCGTGCAAATATGTTCCGCAAAGACCTAATAACGCGAAAAATCCACTAAAATCAAAATCAAAGGTACGTTGGAACAGTTTTCCGAGCAATCACGTCCGAGCTTTAAGACGATGCAGCTAATCTCAAAGTTAAACGACGAATGACAACTATGGTATCAGAAACGAAGCGCTTTACCGAAAACCATAAGAACTTTCCACGGGTCTTTAATAAATACACGAAGAAGAAAAATCACAGATCCGAGAGGAACGTTCGTTCTCTTGGAACTTTCTAGGAAAACGTCGCTTTTACGAGCGTTAAAATCACCGCACGTCGATACTTTCCCCTTTGCGCTAAAACTATCAAAGCGCGATACGATAAATCTCTCTTAAGCGATAGACGTTTTCGCAGAAATCTCGCAGTAAATCGAATAACGGCGGCGTTTCTGGAAATTTCAGCGACTATTTTTTAAAATACATAGATGAAATTACGCGTCTATCCTCTCGCCATATTTTTCATCCTAATCGTCTCGATCGTACGATATATGATATATCTCGTATCTCGGTCGTTAGCAGCTCCGCGGTATAGACCGAAAACTCGTATCCGCGCGAAAATAGCAAAGACTTGCCTTCTTCGTTACCCTGAAGGAAAATCGCTTCTCTGGAAAGTCAGAGTCGCGATGGAAACTGCAGAAACGCGATATCCGGCGGCTCGACTATTTTGGCATCGCCTGGTACCAAAACGAACACGCCACGATAATGGCCGTTGATGACGATCGTTTACATGCGCTCGTAATCGTCCTCGAGCACAGTCAGAATTTAAATATGCTCTTCGAGTTTCCACGCGAGAGAGCGTGGCGAAGAAGAAGGAGAGGACGAAGAGGAAGGAGAAGGAAAACGCGGCTGGAGAGAGGAACGCGGATCGCAATTGAGCGCCGGGAGGTCGATGCACGCCAGGCACCGGTCGTTATTAAAATAAATTCATTAAGCCGAAACGGGGATCGCGCGAGTTCCCGCACGGGCGCGTCGTAAGAAATTCACTGTGTTGGTAGTGTGCAATTATATTGTCATTAGTGACGTCACGCGCGTAATACAACGCGGCTTCCTCTTATTCCGTCATTTTTTTCTTTTTCTTCTTTTTTCGTTATTTTTCCTTTTTCTCTCTTCTCTCGCGGATGCTCCGTGGCAAGCTCCGTGGCAGGCTCCGTGGCGTTCGCACAGGGTACCATCGCATCGCGCGGGATTCATCTGGACGGAGATAATCCAAAGCACCACCCCTCGGCCCTTGATTATCGAACCCGTGTAACGTACTACGAGATATCGCGTGGTCGGTACTGTTGCCACGTCGGAACTCGTTAACTCGTAATTTCCTTCGGGACGCCATTTCCAGATCTAAAGCCTCGTTCAGATCGGTAGTTCGAGTCGCTTCGAGACGATTCGAGTCGCATCGAATTTAACATCGAGCAATTTAACTTGAAAAGTTTCGGTTTACGCGAGTCGAGTTACTTCGATTAAACGAGTTTGTTGTTAAAAATACGTTGAAAATATACGACATATCGCTCGCAACAATTTCCAGTCGATCCTATTTCCTAAATAGTCCGATCCAGTTTCGGATCTGTCGAGAATAATCGACGCGATCGAAATCCGAGGAATTAAAAATATGTCGCGTATTTTCCGATTTCGATAAAAGTCGCGTTAACTTCGGCGAAAGCGATCGCGCCGATGTTCGTTAATTACAACGACGATCCGCTGAAAAGTCGTACGTACGCCCGACCAAACGAAATCTCGATCTTAATCCCTTCGTTTTTACATCGGCCGGATCCTATCGCCTCCGATCTGTCTATCGATCGTTTCAGCCATCCGAAGCTCGTTAGCGAAAAAAATTCAATGAAAGGTGTTTAATATCGTAAATCGAATAGTCCGCCGGCGGCGTCGTAAACAGAGAATTTGAATTTCAAATCGGACGAGCATTAAGAAGCGCGTGGAGCGCGGGGACGTGGTGGAATCGTTGGCGAACGCCCCTGCGGAATTCATCTTTCGCGCGTAAAAACGAGCCTTAAAGGGTCGCTAAGTGCGTCTAATTCGACTCGTTTTCCGTCGGAACGATCGGCTTTACGATCGTCCCGTGATTCTCTCGGCCATCGTTTCCCCGCCTCTCCGCCCTCCTCGTTTCT